ATTTTGTCTGAATTTTAAAAATAGACTTATTTTCCCTTTAAAATTATTTAGTCATGAAATCATCTCTACATTTTCTCTATTCTGATGACTGTTTTTCTAAACTCTAGGATAAATGCCTCTGTCCAGAATTAGTTTTCTGTGAAAATAACAAACTGGAAGATGACATGTCATTTCCTTCCAAGTTGCTCATCACTTTTAATTCACTAACCAAATCTTACTCCTTGTTCAAAATTAAATTCATGTAAAAATTCTCCAAATTGATCTCTCAACCTTCTAAAGGAATGCAGTGGCAGAAGGCAGGTCAAGAACTTATCAGAGGGTCTTCATTGGAAAGAGACTTCTGACAGATGTTTAGGAGAAAAGTTCCCTGTCAATCATTTAACTTGGCTCTGTATTAGTTTTGTAATTTGCATTAGGGAGGCCTGAGGAGGCTAGTCATTCCTTTTCTGAAACAATACCACTTTAGCTTTACTCTCCTTTTAACCTGTTCTACATGTATTCTAGCATATGCCCTCATTGGAGCCATTCATGTCCATTCTTCCTGTATATACAGTACTAAAGCCACATCCTTGTGATAAACACTTTTCGAGTCATTTAAAATGTGACTCATAGAGCAGTTGCAGGTCTGTGAGCTGTTTATGATTGGTTTGCAGAAATATAAGTGCAGAAATGTAGAGTGAGCATGCAGTTGCAGGTCTGCGAGCTGTTTATGATTGGTTTGCAGAAATATAAGCGCAGAAATGTAGAGTGAGCATGTAGGAACTTTTAAAGCAATTGACAAAAATAACTGTATGTTAAATCTTATAATAAAAATTGAGGATTCAATATTGCATATTTTTTAATAATCTTTTTTCTAGCAATTTAGTCTTCTTGTATTATACAGAAGTCCTGGTCTATAATAGATTGGAAATAAGGAAGCTGGGAAGGACCATATAGGATTTGCAGAGCACTACCAGAGAAGAGGTCCACACCTGACAAAGACTCTATATAAGTCCAGGATCATATTTAGCTTTTTGTATTAAATTTACATATTCATTGTATTTTTTTTTTTTTTGAGATGGAGTCTCTCTCTTGTTGCCCCGTCTGGAGTGCATGACGCTATCTCAACTTACTGCAACCTCTGCTTCCTGGGTTCAAGTGATTCTCCTGCCTTACCCTCACAAGTAGCTGGGATTGCAGTCATGCACCACCACGCCTGGCTAATTTTGTATTTTTAGTAGAGATGGGGTTTCTCCATGTTGGTCAGGGTGGTCTCCAACTCCGGACCTCAGGTGGTCCACCTGCCTCGGCCTCCCAAAGTGCTGGAATTAAAGGTGTGGGATACTGCACCTGGCACATTTTATTATTCTTACTCTGATAATTGTTATATATGAACATACACGACAAGTACATTGGTCCTCCCTGTCTTTCTTGTGTCTTCTTCTGCAAAATCCTGGCCAACTTATTTACAATTTAATGTTCTCCAAATCATACCTAAAGATATCATCTAATGCCAGATTTGAAAGCGTTATTTAGATTTTGTGCCTTTTTGGCTTGAAGTTTAAGTATAGTTTGGTTGGCCTTGGTATTTTTGGCCACATGCATTGCTGCCAGTCTTGAAAGAGCCACTTCTCCCTTTGCAGATGACTCTCTTTCTATTATCAAGAACCATGGTATGGAAAAACAGATTCTCTTTTGTACTACCTAGATATTTCCCAAAGCCTCCTTGTATTCTTAACTAAAATCAGAAGCAGATACCATACCTCTAACACCTGTATGCTTGCGCCCTTCGGCTTCTTCATTTTTCTTCATGCCTCCAGAGGGACAGTGACTACATCTCCTAAAGACAGTACTGATTAGCACATATAATCACAGAAGACAGTGGAACCTTTCCACACATTTTGTGTATATATCCCAGGAAAACTATTCATTCCCTTTAGTCTCATAACATCTAAACATGAACTCATGAATGCCTTGGCAGGGAGCCAACCACACCCTCTCTCCTCTGCCTTTTTGCAAAAGATGATAAAACTGTTCCAATGTGACTATCCTGAAAATTCTTTTTCTCCTGTATGGAATGAGAGGGAGGTTGTCAGTGCCCTTACAGGAATTCACTAGTCATCATCCATGGAGGTAGATGATATGGGGTGCATTACCCCACCAGTCTAAAATGTCTTTTAACCTTCTTGATACTGGATTCAAATTTTCTCTGCTTCTTCAGCAACATTTTTTTCTTCTATGTTTCTTGTTGGGTTCTATTTTTTTTTAATGTCATTTATGAGCCCTTCATCCTTTCTAACAAGTTGAAACCATAGAATGGCACTCATCAAGTGTATTTACCTTCTGCTCAAGATAGAAGGCTCTCCTGAATTTGCAGCATGCACAGCATTGAGGGCCTCAGGCAGCAGGACAAATATCACAGAAAAATTCAGCAGCATCGTTTGTGGTCCTAACTCCTAGACATCAACATGCATTGCTCCTGTCACAGCTCCCCTTATAAGCAATTTGCTGTTCCTTGTTACAAGGTAGACTTCTGCTACAGTATTGTGTGTGGTGGTAGTGATGACGGCAGGTCCCCAGCAATGCTGCCACTAGCCAGTGTTCTGCCTGGGTTAGAGATGCATGTTGTACAGACCACACACTCAATTACTGAACTGCCTTTTATAAAAATCAAGAAAGTGCCTACCTGGAAAAGTGACGTTTCCATTGCCTCTCACTTTTCTTTACCCCTTATCCTACTAACATCTAGTTAAATCAATTGGCATAAGATTAGAGGGCTAGGAAGATAAATGAGAAGTGGTTGATTGGAGTACTAAAAACTTGGTGGATTTGTGTAGACTTGGACCAGGGAGCTGTAGAGTTTGGTGGGGTGGTGGGGAGGGGGGTAGTGAGGATCAAAGATTTCTGGGTCAAGGCCTGGGTCTTGGGTTCTTTACCCATAGAGGAGGGAAAACTCAAGCTCTGAACAGGAAAAGAGGAAACGATGCTGCTCTTCGCAGCTTCCTTCTATGAGTTTCTTATGCACTCATTTCACTTTTTACTCACCTTGCATCTCATGTTTTTCTGTTTCTTGGAACCAGAGGTCTGCCAAAGCAGTTTGGATTTTAGCTCAACTACATGATGACAGGCTTGGTTTTTATGGGCTAGCCTGGGAACCAGACTGCTATTTAAGTATTGTTTCTGTGGAAAAATGCTTACAAATTTGAAAGAAATTTACAACTTAACTTTTGGAATTAAATAAATTTGTCTCTTTTGGGCTGACTGTACAAGAGCCATTCAGTGATAATAAATAGAAATGTATATATATTAGAATGCTATATTTCAAGTTTATGATGCCTAGTGTTCAATTTAGAATTTTTTGTCAAAACAGAAAAACTAAAATGTCACTTGATCAAAACAAGAGACTATAAATATTTTTAAAGATTTTTTAAAAGAAAAATTTATGTAGACCTTGAAGCTTAATTAGAGCTCTATATTTAATAATGAAATTGTAAAAGAAGTGTGGATTTTGCATGTACACTTGCAAGTCATCACTACATACCTGCCCCAAATATTTTGTTTTAGCCTTAACATTTACTTTAAAAAATTGTTACATAAAACAAAAAAATGTAATTTTTTCTTATCTGCAATTTCCAGAGTAGGAATGGGGAAAAAAGAAAAAGAAGTTCATCATGTAATAAAAATATTATTTGAAAACTTTTATTATGCCCCTTTACAGTGCTGTAAATGTTTAACGAAATTTAAAAAAAATTCCCCATATGACGTATCAGTCTGTGCATATGTGCATATGTATATTCCCCAACAGAATTGCTAAAGTAAAAGTGATGAGGCAAGGATGATGTTTCTTTCCGTAGAAGTATCTTTCTGAAACAAAACAAATAAAAACTTATACTTCATATCACTTGTAAAATTTAACTTGATTATCTGAAGACTAATTATATTAACTTCTATTATCTAAAGTGCAGTTTTTTCCCACACTCTAGTAATTAGAGGGATATTAATAGCAGCTATATTCTGATACTTGAGAATCAAAATTGATAATGTATGCTCACTCTGCCCACAATTTAGCACCTGGCAAAATAATGATACAAGAGACATTACAATATACAGTTGTCAAAATGTACCTGGAAGCTCTTAGAGGAATATTAGAACAACTGACGACAGGTGAAATAAAAGAAGTCTCAACTTTCTGAATTCAGGAGGATTCAGCAGAATTGCCTGTAATGTCAGTTTGGGCATTTAAAAATGCTTCCTGCAATTAGAATAGCAACTACAGGTGGAATAGATTCAAAACCACTTACTAAGTTGTTTGTTATCTATTTCCCTTTGGTATCCTGAGGCCACAGAGACAAGGAATTGGCCTGAGTTTTCACGTCAAAAACTAAAGCACATTAGCGGTGGCACCTTTTCAGCCGCTCTGGTGTCATTCCCTGAAAATCACAGGCATGCCGTCCAATTAAAATGGTACTTTGTGGAAACCAAAGGAACACAGTCAAGGAGCACCAAGGAACTGCTTATGTGCTTGGAGAAGCTAAAAGACATGCTTACCATGAGCCACAAGAGGCCTTCTCTGGCCCCCTGAAAATAAACATCTCTTTTGCATAGATGCTATCTTGTAGCTGCCGGTTGTCTGCCAAGAATTGTTATTTTAAATGGAGACTCTTTCTGTATCTGTGGGAAGAATTCATATCCAGTCAGAGAGAATGTAGAGAGCAGTTCTTGTTGCCCGTCACATTTTAGTGCAGGGAAATGCTTTGCCCTAAAGGTGCCAGGTAAAGAGAATTGCCAAGTAAAGAAAATTTATTGAATGCATTTTCCAATAGGGAAGCATAATCTGACATTTTTGTTTCTTGGATCTCAGAAAAATAACTTTCCTCAGTTCTTATATCAAGAAGGAAGACATGCAAAGGCAAAAAAAGAAAAAAAAAAAACGCATTTGGTCTTAGAATGTATTTATGTACATTTTCTTCTATTTAATAATGTTTTATTCATAATTATTTTATATGCCTTTCTTTCTTCAGATGTCTGCCTGCAGCACACGTCAGGATACTGAATTTATTAGTGTTTCCTCTTCTCCAGTGCCGGCTTTCCCTGAACCACATTATCGTGAGTCCATATGATTATTCCCTTAGGACTGTCCACTTGAGGAACACAATGGCCTGAACCTCCAAGCCTTTACGACCCAAAGGACGGAGTCAAAGAATCAAATTTTCTTTTTGCCACTGGCAGCCCCACATCCACGTCAGGTTTTAGACGTGCTCTCCTCCCTCACTGGCTGGCAGGTAAGATCCTTGGTACGTTCATCCCTTCTTACCTGAAACCTCCCCCTTATTTATTTATTTATTTATTTATTTATTTATTTTTATTTTGAGACGGAGTCTAGCTCTGTCACGAGGCGGGAGTGCAGTGGTGTGATCTCAGCTCACTGCAACCTCCGCCTTCCTGGTTCAATCGATTCTCCTGCCTCAGCCTCCTGAGTAACTGGGATTACAGGAACGCACCACCACTAATTTTTTCTTTAATTTTTAGTAGTGACAGGGTTTCACCATGTTGACCAGGATGGTCTCGATCTCCTGACCTCGTGATACGCCCGCCTCAGCCTCCCAAAGTGCTGGGATTACAGGCGTGAGCCACCGCGCCCGGCCCTCTGGCTCATTTTAATTCCAATTGATTTGCCGTAGTTGTGATCGGAGTTTGTGGGTTTGCTCAAACTTCTCTAGGGAGTAACACAAAAGTATTAACATTTTGCCAACGCCAGGACTTTAGAAAATTTAGGCTTGAGTGAAAAACAAACTGACGCATTAAAATAATATAAACACACCCAATTTCAGATCCTATTCGCCCTTGCCTTGCCCCACAATGCTGGGTTGTCTCCCTTTACAAAACGACCGCAACGTCAACACTCCACTCTAACGTGGTCCGTGACAAAGCGAAGGTTCCACCTCTGAGCAGGTAAAATATGTTTGTTAGGGAAAGACTGCTCGGCAGTAAGGATGACAACAATTAGCACATGCTACTCATTAACAAACGGAGATTAGAACGCAGCCGAAATGGCAAGCTGCCATCAGTGTGATAGTTACGGGGCAGTTTAATTTCTAACGAATGTAAGTGCTGGATCCGTAACAATATTCGACAAAATGCCGCCTGCATTCTCTTATGGCTTTCATTACCAAATTGAAAATCTGTGTAGATTTCTGAAAATTACTTTTAAATGTAGCCAATCTCCTAGACTGCAAGGCTTGATTTGCTGGTGAGGGAGCCCTGCTGTGAGATTTTAATGAAAGATCATAGTGGCCCTCCAAGGCCAGCAAAGAGCTATGGGCCCTGGAAGACCCGAAATAATCTGTTTTACTTTTAATGGCAGCCATTTTATATTCATTAAGATCAAAATGCAGTTTTGCAGGCAAATTGCAAAGCTGTTCCACTCACAGCTTGAGAACCTGGAGGCCCTACAGCTTTTTATCTTGTTCATAAGCAAATATGCAGTTAATATCTTTTAATATGCTTTGATGCTTGGTACCTTATGGGTACATTGTACCGGAGGTTAGAGAACTGCATGTTTCCTTGGCACAGCCAGCCACGAACTAAAGCGGTAGTCCTTTTATTTCCATAATGGCAGAAGAAATGAGTCTCTCTTTTTATCCCTCTCCCCATTTTTTTTAAAAAATATGAGCTTTGCTCAAATAGATTGTAAGGCACTGTATAGTGTACATTCAGGGTCTCAGAGAAGGTGCAGTTTTTCACTGGGATCTATCTGTTGGTGGTTCATATTATTTAAATTTATACAGTCACATTATTTAAATGTAAACAGCCAATAAGATATGATCAAATCATTGGCATCTGGAAACTGTGCTCTCATCCTCTTTGATTGTGAGGTTGTCTGCATTAATAATGGAGTTCTAAAGACTGTGATTCCACCTGATATACTGTATGACCTTAGCAGTTGTGATTTTATCAGGGTTTCCCTGTAGTAGAAAATGAAGGTATTTTGCAGCTCATTTCCAGCAAAGCTAGTTTGCATTATCTTCTGTCCAGAGTAGTCCTGACTGTTTTGTGTTATAAAATATCACCTCCCCCATGGCCCCCTTTTTGCTGTGCAGCTGAACTTCCGGTCTGGAACCATGTTGTAGATTAAATTCCATCAGATTTCTTGTAGAAGGTAAATGGTACTGTGCTTAATGAAAAAAGGAAGGGAGGAAGGAAGGAAGGAAGGAAGGAAGGAAGGAAGGAAGGAAGGAAGGAAGGAAGGAAGGAAGGAGAGAGGAAAGTCAGGGAAAGAGGAAGGAAGGGAATGGAAAAAAGAAAGGAAGTTGGGATTGAGGGGGGAGGGAAGGAAACACTGCACTAACTCCTCCCATTCATCAATTTCTATCTCATCTCTAAGACAAGAAATAAGGTCGATGCAAGTGGATCTTATACTCAACCCACAACTCCATCTTAATTCTGCCTTATGAAATAGGCAAGGGTTAGATATAATGGTCTAGAATCACAGGACTATCCAATAGTTGCCAAAATAATATTTAGGGGATATTTTTTGGTAGAAACAGGACCAGGTCTGTTTCAATTTGCCCAAAGATTTGGAGGCTAGGCCAACAAAAAACAACTTTTGCTCCTTTATCTAAATCGTCTTGGTTTTTGAATGCACCCAGGGTGTCAAAGTCTTATAACCAGCGCCGGGGTGGGAACTCTTTTTGGTGGGAGCAAAGCCTTCCATCACTATGCAGCATCAGATGAGGGTGTTGTGTTTTTTTTTTGTTTTGTTTTTGTTTTTTTTGTTTTTTAACTCTATAGCCTTTGAAATTTCAGCCCTCTTGAAGAGCACTGTGGGGCCAGCTAGTGAGGAATGACAGTTAGCTCTTTTATGCAAGTTAATGCCCATTGTGCTGTCTCTAAAAAATAATGTACATTAAGACAGCTCCATAGAAAGGCCAGCCTTTGTATCTCCAGGCCCGCCCAACCTTTATACTTCACCGGGCCTCACAGGCATATTATAATATTGTATGACATGTTTACAAGTCCTAACATCTTACTTTGTACAACTGCATAGCTTCTTTGCAGGCTCAAGAATTCAGGCTTGGACTGTCTGATGAGGGAATTTGATAACCCCCTCTCCCTGGGTCTCAGAGCAAGGTGAAGGTGTCTGGCCTGCCAAGGCACAATTTAATGGTCTTCTGAAAACACTCAAATGGCAGACATAAATGTGTGGATGGGCAGCCAGCCAGGCTGACCCGGGGGATGGGGCCAGTTGATTTTAAGCAGGGTGAGGTCGCCAAGGAATGTTTCAGACCTGAGCTGGCTCGTGGGGTTGGGGGTGGGGGCAGTCTCTGGAAGCCTGAGGGTTGACTGTAAAGGATTTACAGAGCTGGAACCCGACTCTGTAATCTAAGAGCTAAAGCATTCCCACCTGTCCAACTTTAAAAGGGAAATGGAAAATGTAAAGAACATATAATTAATTTCAATTACAAGCCTCACATATCTCAAGCCAGATAGGCACTGTCTTCATTTCCTGTCAGTCAAATGGGTTCCAATACAAAAGTCACGTAAATTAAATAATATTAAAACGTAAAATTCCCTCTTACACATCTCTGTTTTCTATTCTTAATGCGTCTTGACATTTAGTCTTTGATATGCTACTTGTTTTCCTGCAAAACACATATACTTCAGATGTTGATTTCCAATCAGTCTTTCCTCTTTATGTTGCATCATCCACTATCATGGGACCACTATAAATCAAGAATCTTTGGAAAGATGACCAGAGAAATAATGAGAATATACTTAAACATGAGAGGTTTCATCTGATGTTTATTTACAACTTTGTTTCAAAATGATCCTGTAATTTTATAATACAATTATTTTTCATTGCTTGTGTTTGGTATTTTCAAAAATAATATGAAAACTTTTCTAGGATCAATAACCTGTGTTTTTTTTTGGTCCCACAATTGTCTTGCTATTTTTTTTTCTCTCCAAAGACATTTCGACGTGTGCTGTGTGGTGTCATTGGCCACAAAGGGGTCACTGTTTCACAGAAGGTGAATTTGCATTTTCAGCCAGTGCAAGGGAGAAAGTAATATTGCACACTATTTTCACATACCCATGGTATCAGCAGTGGTGTTACATCACTGCAAGTTGAGCTCTGTGTAGA